CACACACACACACACACACACACACACACACACACACACACATAGTTTTTTCCATTCTTTGTTTCCTGTGTTCTCTCTCTCTCTCTCTCTCTCTCTCACACACACACACACAAACACACACACACAGTTTTTTCCATTCTTTGTTTCCTGTATTCTCTCTCTCTCTCACACACAAACACACACACACACAGATTTTTCCATTCTTTGTTTCCTGTGTTCTTCATAACGTTCTCACTTGAACTTTGCCAAGCAGACTGGCAGGGAGAAAGAATAGCAGCAAGTCACAAGCCAGCAAGCGGGACTCGGTGCAAGCAACAAGGCAACAAGGCTGGCAGTCACCAAGGGATGCAGTGAGGCAGAAGGCAGGCAGGCAAGTGGAGGGCAGCGTAAGCAGCAAGGGTTACATGGCAGGAGGGTACGTAGGAAATCAGGCAACACACCAAGAAGGTAAAGAGCAGGGACGTCAGCGGGCCGCTCGACAGCAAGGCAACAGGGAATCAAACCACGCAGGTAGCAACGGAAGCTGCAAAGCTGGGTTGCACGGCGTACACGTACGCGGGTGGCAGTGCTCACATGGCGGTGGTGGGATCGAATCTGGTGAAAGGCGGTGCCAGATGTTCTCTGGCCGTGGGCCTGGCAGGACACTGCCCGGCAATAACTTGCTGATTTCTGTGTGTAATCCCCTTTGTGTGTAATCTGTTCAATCCTGTTAGACGGTCGGTTTTGTGGGCACTCTGGTGGCAGCCGCAATGACTTGCTGATTTCTGCTGCCGAGATCTAGTCGTGTCTTAGGGTCAGATTCATAATTTTGTTCGTGTCAGGGACTAACCCTGAGTTCAGCCTGAGGGAAATCCAGGAGGGACAGATCTGTAAATCTGGGAAAGTTATATTTCCAGTAGTACCCCAAATTTCCTCTAGTACCCTCACTGCCTCTAGCAGTACCGGGCTATCACTAGGACGGCAGGTCCAGCGGGCCTTGGGCTGTAGCGACGGTCTTATGCCGTATAGCCGGATAGGGTCCAGGCCGAACAGGCCAAACTGGAACGGTACCGGTCCCAGCAGGTCTAGGTTTCGAGGAGGTTACTCTATTAATAGGGCGGAGCCAGTAGTTTAGGGACTTTTGGCTGTTCATTTTCGGAAGGCAGCGTTTGGAGCCAAGCAAGTTGGTGGTGGTGATTGTCTACAGGCGGCATCCCGAGACTCTCTCCGTGGACGGCAGCCATAGCCAGCCTTCTGGAGGTTGCCATAGCTGGGGCATCCTCGGAGCATCTACCCCTGAGGGTATCTACGTTTGGCTGGGCTATACTGAGGCTCTTCATTGAGTATTCGTGGGTGGACCACTGTTGCCCATCTCTCCTCCGGAGTTATCAGGGCTCCATCAGTGGTGTGGCAGCCATAGCTGCCAGCTTCTTTGTCAGAGTTGTTCAGTGGCGCTGAAGGCTTCATCGCAGCACCTGTTCTCCATGTGGGCGGTTGGCGCTGGCCTCTGGGAGGCCATTTCAGGGTTGCGTTACTAACTGGGTGTAGGATAGAGAGTGGCGTGTGGAGTGCTGAGAGTGGCGAGATACTGTAACAAACTCTGTAACGATAAGTGGTTTGAGTTGGCCCATCATCAGTGTGAACCCTATTGTTATCCTCGCACGTGTCTTCTTGTGATTGAGTTTTGTCAGAGAGCGAGAAACAGTGTGTGTCTTTTCCCCATCTGTGCATGGTTGTATTCCATAGCCAGATCTTCATCATCTTCTGAAGACTACACTGAAAGTGAGTACGTTCCACACAAATCTTTGTATAGCGAAGTATTTAGTGTCAGTATAGTTAGAATTGATGGTCTATCTGTCTGCCAGAGTCCAAATTTAGTTTCGTCAGACTGCATGACAGCCATAGCCATCTTCTTCCTATCTTCACTTTCTCATATCTCCCCCTCTGTTGACTCTTTCTGTCTCAAATCTGTTTTGGGACTGCATGACAGTATTGCGCTGAATCCTATATGCTCAGAATGTGAATTATCTACTGGGAAAGTACTGATACTGTGGATTGTAATTTTGCGCTGAGTCTATTTATAGTTCGGGCTATTTAGGGTTAATCGCAACTAAAATTCTGCCCGTCAGAATTCAATTTTGTCAGTCTGTAGTGAATCGCAATTCTGTTGTTGTCATCTGTACAAAAGCGCTTGACCAGATTATCGGTATTTGAGTAATTACAGTGAATACTGTAAATCGACATCCCTCTGGGTATGGCTGTCAGATTCAATAGTGGCAAAATTTGGGTCTGTGGTAGGATTGAAGGCTACTGACTAAATCGCTACATCTTGTTGGTCTGTCTCTCCCACTGTATTCTCTAGTGGGCTCTGGAATTCTAGGATATATCTCGGTCACTGGAATTGTTTGTACTAACTCCAGTTAAGATGCGGGGTCAGTAAAAGGAAATCGTGTGACTGGTTTTGCTGGACTGTCTGTCTATCTGACCGCTGACCTCCAGAGACACTGTTCCAACCCCAATCGTTTGTTGCCCATTCACCCACCTACGTCTGTGCAAGAGATAGAAGTGATTTCTAAGTGTCTGAAGGAATTGGGATATCGCTGCATACTCCCTTGTCTGTCCACTAACTAGTGTATATCTGAAAGCGGAAAATGGGGGATCAGGAGGCTCAGCAGCAGCCACAAGGAGAAGTAGAAGTGGAGACAAAAGTTCAATAGACTTCTGCCTCCCCCTCTACTACACCTCTGACTGCTACTCAGCGGAAGGAGGAGTTACAGGATAGACTGCAGCAAGAGCAGGCTGCTTGCAGAACTCGAGAGACAGGAGGCAGCCGAACTGGAGGCTGCAACAGATGCTTCAGGCAAAGAGTATCTGTTGGAGCAGTTAACCAAGACCGTGTTAGATGAGCGCTGCACCCAGGTGACCAGGAACTTGGCAGAGTGGGCCGTTTTGGAACACAGCCACCAGTTCCTATTTCACCAATCGGGGTGATCGCATGGGTCGTCTTGAGCGCAGAGTTGATGACCTGGCGGCTCAGCAGTCAAAGCTACTGGATACAATTCAGGCTCTGACTGCTCAGCTGACAGCAGCTAAGCTGATCACTCCTCAGCCTCCTGTACCCAAAGTAAAACCTTCTCCTTCTCTTGCTCCATCTCCCTCTGGTTCACGTCATTCTTCCCCTTCACCACCTCCCTCCCAAAAAGCCACAGGGCGCCCAATGCTTGATTCTGCTCCCCCAGGTGATCAAAGGGGGCCCAAGATTCCAGCCCCCAACAAGTTCAAGGGCGATGGTCCCAAAGTGGACGTTGGGGACTGGACTGCGGGCACCAAAGCCTACTTGAGAGGCTTTATATGTGCAGAGCAGATCAAGGTTGTGACGGTGCTGGGACTGTTGGAGGGGCCCGCATTGACGTGGGCTACCTCGACCTTCAGCAGCCAGGAACAGCGCCTGGAGGATTGGGCTTTTGGGCTGGGGGTGGACGGACTTCTACAGGCCCTAGAGGACCGCTTTGCAGACAAGGAGCCCGCCTGCAAAGCTGCTGACAGGATTGCTCGCCTGGGGCAGCAGCGTTACAGCGGGTCACTGCAATCTTTGTTTGCAAAGTTCGAGCAGCTTACCTCTACCCCTGGGTTGGTCGTGTCAGCAGATGCCCTGCTAACGAACTTCTGCAGGGCAGCGCCTGAGAAGTTTGTTGTTGCTTTATACAGTGCCGTGCAGCCCTGGACATGGAGGCAAAGCTACATGTTCAGGCCCCCTCTTCTGATAGACGAAAAGGAGCCTTTCCTCGTGGTGGTAGAAAGGGAAAGGCTGCCTTTGCATATGCAGGATCTGGATCAGCCAGTGATTCAGATTCCCAAGCTGATGTACCATCAGCTGGGACTGAGTCGGCTGCTGGTACAGATGTTGCAGCAACCCTGACTCAGGCTGTTTTGGGAGTTCTGCAGCAGCAGAAAAGGTTTTCCCCCACCACAGCCTCAACCAGTACTAAGGGGAAGGATAAGGGACGTCGTTCTTCTACCCCTGCCCGACGCCCTAACCTGCCAAAAGACGTCCGTATGCCAGCTGACCCTCTCAATCCCTCCACTCTCCCCTGGCATGATCTCAAGATCCAGGAAGGAATCTGGAGAAGAAGAAAGAATAGAGGGGTCTGCCTGCGGTGTAGGGTCAGCACTTTTTGAAGGACTGCCCTTACATGCCAGGGCCGGGTCAATCAAAAAACTTAAACCACCAGTACCTCCGCCAGTGTTGGGAAATTACGTTGTCCTGGCCAGTACCCGAAGTTTTGGGGGGTCGGACACAGGGTCGGCAATGTCCCAAAAATCGTAGTTTTATTTTGCCCGTGCACGAAAGGAAAAGGAAAAAAGAAAAGACCTTTGTACTGCAATGATGTCGGGCAGGGTAGTCTAGGAGGCCGTGCTCACCGTCTTGAATGCATCTTACAACAAAGATGGTCACATTCTGCAACTTGTTGTTTTCTTTTTTTTAATTTCTCTTTTGTTTGTTATGTGTCCCCTTCCAACGAGGCAGGGCGGAATCCGTGACCTGCTCTAGCTGTGTTTCC